GGTGGAATGATGTTGATCGGAGATAAACGAAGGAAAATCAAAATTTGGTAGGAAAAGCACAAGTGCTCTGATATCACTTCATAACTTAATTGTTGTCAGAGCTTGAAAACAAAGTAATACGATAACAAGAAGAATAAGAGATTTTTGTTGGCAATTGACATTGCCTATTTTTAGTTTTTGTTTGACTTAATTAGAAGAGAATTACAGAAGCAAATGGTGGAGTCAATACTCCTGAACACGAGGGAATATTGGAGAATGGAGAAGATGGTTCCCTTGAGGAAAGGAAGAAAAATTGTAGAAAATAATTAACGACAAACCAAAGTAAAATCAATTACTTAACATAGTACTTTTGGATTGTGTCTTGGTTCGGTTTTGTGCTCCACCAGGGAATGCATTTTGTGACCGTTGTATATGATTAATAGATAGACGTGATGGTGCCTGGGAAATGTATTCCGTGTGAAGAAATTCTCTATAGTAATTGCCTAATTGGGTAACCCTCACAATAGGAAGATGTAGTGAAAATATTAATAAATTAATAACAACAAATTAAATGAATTTACAAAGCTACTCTCATATTCACATCCTCTCATGGTTGTCAAAATATAATTTCATTTTTGGCTTTTCGATTGGAAAGCATATATACACACGACCTCTAGCTAGACGCTTTCTTCGAATCCATTTATACCGAAGGCGCATCGGAAGGTCCATCTGAAAGAGATGCTGAAGGAGAAACTAAAGGAGAAGCCGAAGGTGAATCTGAAGGAGAAGCCAAAGGAGAAACTGAAGGTGAAGGTGATGGAGAAGCAGACCCTAAGCCATCAGTTTTAGTGAAGGAGGAGACTCCGGGAGCAGCGGCTGGAGAATCAGTAAACCCAGACCCGATTGCAGAATTATCAGTCGTCCCAGTAGAATTGGATATAGTTGCAGTATTACCTGATTCTATGGAGGTTGTTGTGTTAGAACTGGTATTGGTTTCTGTAGAACCAGGCTTGGTTCCACTACTAGACGTAGTTGTGGCAGAGCCGGATCCGGTATAACCAGACCCAGTTTCGTTAGCAGCCGACATAGGTGCGATAGAACTTAATGAGCCTGATTCGCTTGGATCGGTATTTGTGGAGTTGGGAGAAGATGAACTGGTCATAGCGTCCTCAGTTGCTGAACCATTTCCAGTGAAAAGACCGGGGTTGTACGGAAGACCATTACCCGGAATCCAAGCGTCACCTTGGATGTACTGAGCTGGAGTGAATTTAAGGATCTCTTCCTCACTCAACTTCTTGATTCCAGGCCAAGTAACTCGATTCATGACAGGTGCACCTGGCCCAGTGTTCCGCACCTCTGAGTAGAAAAGTGTGTCAAGGCCGAAATTGTCCATCCACGGCTGCCATCCTTCCGGTGGAATGAAATCAGGGATAAATGTGTTCATGATGATAGTTCTTGAATATTCTTTCCATGGCCTTCCAAGATAAGCTTTACTAGTTTCCTTGACTGCCAAGTAATCTGTTTCGCCGGATATCGTACATCCTTGCAGCACGAATCCCGTGGTTTCTCGCGGATCTTTACGTCCATGGGCGGTAATTGGGCATGCTTGGTTAGGGAGTGGCTTTCGCACCAAGAAAGTACAATTCTGGAATACCGCAGCTGCATCTCCAAAGAGAAAGTCAATGGTGCCCGAGATAGTACAGTCTCGGTAAAACTGACGGTGGGAATGGGCGTAGAGAGTGTCTTGGTAACCATCAAATCTACAGTTGTAAAATATCGACGCATCTGACAGAACCCTAAGGGCAACCGCTTGGTGATTGATTGCTCCGGCGGTGTTCTCGAACCCCATGTTTTTGGCAATGAAGTGATCTCCAACGATTGCTGCAATAACCATAAGGTTCATTCAAATACGAATTCTCAATCACAACAAGTAAGAGATATCCCAAAAATCATTACCAGCAGAGGCGGTACGGTAGGTCGTAATACCGTCCTTGAAACTTTTGTTGCCGGTAATTACGGTTTTGTCAGGGCCATCGCCGATGAAAACAAGATGTGTCATACTTCTGTTCACCTGAACAAACTCTTTATAAATTCCAGCCTTAATGTGAACCACGAAAGTCATGTTCTTCTTCTTCGGGACATGATTCATTGCCTCGTTGATCGTCGCATACTGACCGCTTCCGTCTTGTGCCACCACAATATCCGGTTTAACATCCAACATTGGCGCGGACAAGAGCCTACGCGTTCGCCCATCAACCCATGAAGGGAACTCTTGGGACAGCAGCCGGCGACTATTCAACTCCGGAATCTGCATTTGTCCCAAGTAATTCGACATCTCGCTGACCATTGCAAGCCCGTTATGTGTTAACTGGACCGCGGTTTTCAGCGCCTTTTTTATTGTCTCACCTGCATCCCCTTTTGTCCCTTGGAACCCTTCGAAACAAGTTTGCTCATGGCTAATCGTCGCGCTGAGCCAAATCTTTAGTTTAACTAAAGCCTCGTCAACCTTGTTAAGCTCGAACTTTCCAAGTTCATCAAACGATTTACTAAGCTCACTGATTGCGTAATCCATTAGCTCCTTGCATTGATCCAACGCCATCTTCGTCCTCGGATCCTTTTGCAGCTCAATCATAGTCTGTGACTTCTTCGCCACGTCACTTATCTGCTTCATGGTCGCGTTAAACGCTGTCTTCACCAACTCCAAAGGATCAGATGTGTTCTTCGCATCTTTCTTCAGAGTGTCTTCACAAGTCTTCTTGTAATCCGTTGGCGCACAAACGTCTTTGATGGCTTTAACAGAAGCCGTGATTTCTCCGTTAGAATCGCCTCCGTTGTCGCTATTGTTGACGTTAACGCCAATGGTAACGGCGACAACCATAGAAATCAGAAGAACAGAAGAGATGGAGATAACTAGGTACCTCTTTTTCTTCTTCGAATCATCGTTGTATGATCCGTATGCCA